TAATCCTTGTTTAGGTAGAGTCTTAGTCACAAACTCACTTTGGAGAGCACTGCATGACCCACTATCGAGTGATTTAGTTTCACATGCACTGATACTCTTGAAGGTATTTTTCAAATAGGTACTTTCTTCAAATTCACTGTCTATGTGTTTAAAACTTTCCTGAAATTCCGAACAGTTTTCTTCTGTGGAAGATGGTGGTTTCTCTGAACAAGTCTGCTCATTTTCTTCACCCTCTATTTTAAGACGTTTTACCACATTGTAATAGGAATTAAATGAAGATCTTGTTTTCCTTAATCTTTCTTTAAGTGTTGCACTCATGGGCTATAACGGGCACAAAACATTAAAGAAAATGATTAAAAATGTTAATCAAGGAAAACATTCCTGATGTTAATGTAATAGATCTAATAGAAATAAAGGCCTATAATAGACACAAGATGGCTTGCTGTCTCCGTATTAAAGTAGCCATCACAAAATGTCCTTAATTTCCAGCTCCATTAGTTTTATTTTTTTCCCCCTGCAAAGTCAATACCCTTCTAAAACAGTGTTGAGACACTTATTCTAGGAATCACGGAACATTTGTTCAGCAACTAGCACATGCTGGACAACTACCCTTATGAGCTTTAGAACCAAATTAAGGAAAAGACCTACATCCTATAATCAAAGACCCTTTTAACGATAATGCATAGACTTTCAAATTTCCTCAATTTGGAGTGTTATAATAACCAAATCTTAAATTAATTAATTCAAGATAAAAATCTGGCAGCAGGTAGGTGTGAGAAGTAAAATACACGGTATCTTAGAAGAAAAACCTAAAATTACTATTTAATAAATTATCTATTTATTTATGCTACACATTACATTAACAATCTTCAGTGGCCTTAAAACCACCACTGCCACAATACTTAAAACACAGAATGAATCCAGGGGAAGAACGATTTCCGTACTTGTTTTTGTGAGCTACTTGCACAGGCCTCTGGAGTCCTGGGTAAAATCACAGCTGAGTCTGAGGGGCTTTCCATCTTAAAAGTGAAATTTCGATGTACCTCTAAAAAAATAAAATGGGAATCAAATTAACCACACTTCTATATTGTCCTCAATTTTTATCAAAGTTATTAGTGTATATGAAACTGCCCTTACAAATTGACGAAGAGGTGCAAGGAGAGAACTAGAGTAAGGGCCCCCAAATTCTGGGAACTTAGCTGAAATAATAGTAATAATCAGCCACCATCCCCTCCTTTGCCCCTAATAATTACAGTTCTTGTTTGCTTCTTTACCCTGGAGGCATGCAGTTATTAGCTACAAAGATTCTTAACTTTCTCCACTTGGCCTGTTTGGAACTTAAGGGTAGTTTCTGAGCTATCTTCCAGGTCCTGCTTACAGTAACTGAACCACCCACACCAAGGAACTGACTCAAGTGGTGTCAGACCCCACCCCACCTCGCCCAAGGAACTGCATGCTCCTGGGATGAGCTGAGTCCGCCGGGGAAACCAGTTAGCAGACCCTGCCTAACCTGCCCACCACATTGTCTTTAAAAACTTTGTCTCCCAGTTCTCCAGGAAGCAGATTTGAAAACTTTCTCCCATCTCCCCACTTGGTGCTATGCAGAATCAACCCTTTCTTTGCTGTAAAACCCTGCTGTCTCTGGATATTGGCTTTCTCTAGACAGTGGAGAGATGAACCTAGCTGGGTGGCACCATATAAAACACCCACAAGTAAGCCAGCAATCTCTTCCTATTTCACTTAGTTGTAATTTATTCTTGTTCTTTTTGCAATTTTTAATTTACCTTCCCACAAAGGGACTAAGTTTTTCATGACAAATTAACTGGCTTGTATCTCAAAGAGACAAGATTCTCCTTGTTTTCTTTTCCATATATCAAAATACCTTCAAATTCTGCATTACGGGGGGAGGAGAGAATAACAACTTTAGATAAGAATTCTTTAACTTCGTTACGATAGCTCCATAATTAAAGGATACAAGTGAAATCTTGACTCAAAAAATATAATCAGACCTGTCAGTTAACTCGAATTCTAAAAGATGCGTGACTAAAATCTCCACGCCCGGAGATGTAAGAGACAAGCCAAGAAACATTCACGCCCGTCTGTAGCGAACAGACACGGAAAGGAGAGTGATCGCAGCTGCTACCTCCAACAAAGGCTCAACTTTAGCCGAGTAAACCAGAGGGAGCAGCCCTCCTCTCCTTCCCCCAGTAGAAAGCACAGCAGCCTGCCGGAGACCCCAGGCCTGTGGAGAGCTCGAGTTCCCCAACCACAGAAAGGCAGCTCTACTCGACTCCACAGAGGAACCCCAGCGAAGTCCAGCTCTCACCGACGCCCTCGTCCCGGTTCACACCACCTCCCTCCGCCATCCCCTTGGCCGCCCAAAAGCGCGCCAAGCAGCTGCCGTAAACCAAGCGTGCGCCAGGGGCGGGTCCGCACGAGAGGCGGAAGTGATGGACGATTGGTCTGATTGAGTGACGCGCGCGGCTCGGCTTCGCCCGCCTCCCGAAAGCGACGAGACTGCGCGCGCGCGCGCGCGGCCGCGAGCGGAGGCGGGACTTGGCCACGCCTGAGGCGGCTGAGACGCAAGATTGGCAGAATTGACTGGCGCGTGCGCGCAGCCATGCTCTTCCCCGTTCCCGACAGCGGCGGGATTCGCGTGCGCGTCCGCGATCCTCTGCTGGGCTTGTTGGACCGAGGGGCTGGATGACTAACTTGTCCTGCAGCTGGCGCGCTCGCGATCTCATCTTCCCTTCTCGATTTTCGTGCGTCTGTGATGTAGCGGGGGTGTCCTCCGCGCCCGGTAGGCCCTCCCCAGGAGCGGGCGAGTTACCAGTTCCAGCTGTGAACCCCCCTCAGGCGGCGACCACGGAAGAGCAGCACTGGGGTCCTGCCTACTGGGAGTCAGACCTGTTAGAAGTCTTGCGAGCTCTCCGGCGCCCCCCGGTTGAGCTCACGTCCAGCTTTCTTTGCTGCGGCACACTCGGCACTCCCCTCGCCAGCTTTTCTCTTGCCTCTGATTCAGGTTCCTCCGCTCAACTGTCCTAGTAAAATCCGAGAGAAAACATAGCCAGTGAAATGTGCCATGGCTTAATTCAGGGAGCGGAACGATCTCTGAATAAGGCTGTGGCCGCCCCATCGCGTGTTGGGGACGCGGCCGGGCGCCCCTAGTCCCCAACCCCTCCCGCCCTGCGCGGCGGGGCTCTGTCGCTGTGCACAGGCCGGTGACCCACGGGGGAGCAGTGGGTTTGGGGAATTAAGCTGAGACTTCGACTCACGTGGAACTGGGGTGTTTCCAGCCTCTTACTGACCGGCCGTCATGGTCGTTGAGGCGGTCCATTAACCAACATCTGACGGTAATCGCTTAGAAGGAGCCGGAGGACGTTACCTGTGTCCCAAACAGCCAAGTATAAGTACAGGACCGAAGACAACCCGATGCAATGATTAGGGATGTAACAGTTGTCTAGTTTCAAATCCTGGCACCATGTTTTATGTGCTATCCACGGTAGCGTTTCTGAGCCTCAGTTTCCTCATCTGTAATACGGGGTTGGAGGATTGAAGGAGACTAGATGAGAGACCACTAGAACTAGGCATCTAGGGAGCTCTCAGTAGTTGTTTATCCACCCTAGTGTACTCGCCATTCCCTAAGTGATTTATAGGGGTGTGATCACACAGACTTTCATCACTTTGCTTATCTCCCCCCCAAAACCCACATTTTTTAGAAAATCGCTGTGAGCTGTTAAGATCCTACATAATTTAAATCATAAATAGCTGACAATTGGGAGCCTACATGTATAATTAATAAAATAGTTTCCACGCCTAAACTTTCAAAAATTGTATAAACTAACCTCCAGGTATTTACAGAGTGAAAAAGGGGCCTCCTGGTTTTGTGATCCAGGTGTTTGTTATTCACCTCTCCAAAGTCACAGGTCTCAGTCGCAGGTTGATTTCTCCCTTACTCATCCACTGGCATCAGATAATCTCTGAAAAAAGCAGAATGATTTGTCCTAACACTAGAAGCACAATGCGGACTCTGCATGTTCCTTATACCCCAGGGCATAAGGGTGAGTTGTTTTTATGAGTACCTAAGATCAGCTGCTCCCAAATCCTTTTATCATTCCAACCCAAGCTTAGAGCTGTGTTTTTGCTGGCTGCATAAAGGAAAACAACATCTTGCCTGGCAGATGTTCTGACTTGCTTGTTATGTGAACCGGTGTATTAAAAATGGGCTCGTTTGGCCAGATTTTCAAAGAACTTCTGAGCAAGTACTCGGAAAAACCTCTATCTCAGATATGTGCATTTGCAGATACAGCAAATGCACATATACACAGATACAGCTCTGACCTCCAGGCATTATTAGGATCAAATGATCTCCCAATATGTAACTTAGTATTTTACTTAACTCCCCTCATATAACAAATTGGAAATCCACCTTCCTCTCTCTTAGTGTAAGAGATCTGAAATATCGCCCTATATTTTTTATGTACCTTTAGATAAAGCCTACAAACATGGCCATGTCTTTGGTGACTTGCAATTATATTAGCCTATAAAAAATGTGTTGTTTCTGACACAGACATTGTTATATTTCATATGAAACTTTTCTGGCAGGGAAAAATACTGCCCTGGTGAAAAAGAAAGCAAAGACTCCTTACTCCACCATAGAGAACAAGTTGAGCATTCAATAACAGTAATTAATAGCAACCTAAGTCAGACTTTCCCTGTATTTTTAAATTTCTTTACTGCTCAAGGCTACTCTTGGCCATTTCATTATTCATCAGTAAGTGGCAAAATGCCTCTTTCTTGACTGCGATTATTGTTTGTAGGATGATGACAAAGACCTAAAATCTTCATGAAGTTTTTTTGGGTTTTATTCTTTTTTAATGGCAAGAAAAGAATAGTGAATATTGTCTCTCTCTTCCTCTCTATTCTCTCTCTCTTTCTCTCTCTCTCTCTCTCTCACACACAGTATTTTTAACCACAATTAAAAAGTTTATTTTAGTAGATTTATTTTGGAAATTCTTGGCTTTAGCTTTATTTTTTAAGTCAATAGGACTCTCAGGACAATCTAAATTCCATTCCGTAGACTTTTCTCTAGTGACTAAAATTGTGTCATGTGAACATAAGTAGTATCCATAAGTTGTTTTATAAACAGATATATAAATATATCCTTTTGAAACTAGGATTAAAATCTACTTGGATGAGGAGGTGTGAGAAAATCTAAATTTTCTTAACTGACTTTCAGAATTTCTTGTTTGTGACAGAGTCTCACTTTGGTCACCCTTGGTAGAGTTCCATGGCGTCACAGCTCACAGGAACTTCAAACTCTTAGGCCACAAGTGATTCTCTTGCCTCAGTCTCTGGGGTAGCTGGATCTGCAGGCGCTGGCCACAACGCCCCGCCACAACCCACTCTGTCTCAGGCTGATCTCGAACTTGTGAGCTCAGGCAATTTGCCCGCTTTGGCCTCCCAAGTGCTGGGATTACAGGCATTAGCCACCATGCCCAGCCTCAGACTTTCAATATTTCTATGACATCTGCACATAAGTTAAAAACAACTGGCAACATTTTCCTATGGGTTTCTTTTGCCACAAATTCAAGTCACATATTACAGACCTCTCCATGGTAGAAGTGTTTTGTCCCTTAACAAATTTCCTTTTGCAATAATTGGCAAATATTTGTATTTGTTTGCTCTATTACCTAAAGATCTCATATGGAACTCCATAATATGTGGTTGCTACACCCACAGAGACTATTGAAGACTTTGTTACCAAAGAGTGATCTTTATGGGTTAATTATTTCATATTCTTTGCCAAGTTACTCAAAAGAAGGTTTTATTTTCAACTTCAGGATAAAAGGGCCCTTGACTTAACTGTTAGGCATGCCTCAGAAATTGCCTCACTGAATAGGATGGTTACTTAAAACGTGGAAATATATGAAGGGCCAGTATTATTTGTGTGATAAAGCCTTTTTATCACCAGGCAACTAGAAAATTGATCTGATAATTAATATTCAGGACATTGTACTAAACAAGAAGAGCTCCTTTCACCTAAAGTTCTTGTCTTTTTATTCTACCAGATTTGGCATTTGGTCAAGTCTTTTAAAGACTAGCAAAGCAATAATGTCTATGATTCATTGCTGTTACTGGGTGTGTTTCCTTGAAAAAGAATCGAGTGATTCAGGTTAGATTAAAATAGGGAGGAGGTAGAGTGGGGGTGGGGGGTAGTGGCATAGGAGTTACATTGTTATAAAGTAATGGGAATAAAAATACTGCTCAGGGCACCATCCTTCTTAGATCCTTTTTTTGATTCAGAAACGTCACCCTTGCATTATTTGGAGAAAAAGGCATTAGATGTCAGCAAATACTTGAACAGCAGAACATGTCTTATAATCATCTTTGACTACCTTAAAGTTTGAGAGGTAACAACCCCCAAGATAATTTCACAGTATTGAAATCTCTTTGAAGTGCCGGCAAACTGTCAACTCAGTTTTCTACCCTGACCTCTCATTACTGTTTCAGTCTTGAAGGTATAAAAGGCTTCGTCTTAGTGATGTTTTTTAGGTGGGGGAACAAGGGTGTCTAAAGGAAGCTGAAACTAAGGAGTTAAGAAACCACAACCTAAAATAATATTTAACTTTTTGTTTCTGTTCTTCAACCCTTTGGTAAACCTTGATGGTAAGTATAGTAGTAAAGAAAATCTGTGGATTTAGCCTAACCAGAAATTTTTTGGCCCAGTTTAGGATCTCGAGAGCTAGATTGAAATTTAATCCCTTTGCCACTATCCTACCAATTAGGAGGAAGGAAACACTAGGTCTCTACTCCTAAAGCAAAGTAAAATGCCAGAGATTATAATACCAACCTTTAGGAGCAGTATCAAAGCCTGGAAGGCTGAGCCCCTGACCAGGAAAATCAGTTGGAGAGGTGTGATCACACACAGGGAAGATGGCGTGATCAAAGACACTTTTCACTGATCCTCTCCCTTCCACCTCCAACATTATGCCAAGTATCTGTGTCCCCAACACTGTGTCTAAATTATACCACTTGTCAGTGACAGCAATGTTACCCAGCTCTCCACCTCCCTGACAACTAACTCTGTGGCTATCGAGAAATAAAGTATGAACTTTAATAATGACTCTGGTAACTCTCAATTGGCAAATGATATCACTATTTTTCGATACTGAAAATGTATATTTTCCAACCTTCCTTAGTATATGGGAATGATGGCTTCATCTATATTGTACGGTTTATTCTCTTACTTATGCTCTATTTATGACTTCGGAATCTACGCCCTTCTGTGAATGCTGGGTTTTAAAAACACAACATCTATGTTGTTGAAGGTCTCCTGTGAGGGGAGTTGCTACCAAGTGCGTGGATAACACC